AGTAAGCGTCGGGCCCCCGCCCGCCGGGCAGGGCTGGAGAGCGGCCAGCTCCGCAGTGGGCCCCCTGCTTCCAGCCCCGTGCTTTTAAAAGCAGATGCAAAGGATCTGTTGCATAACCTGAATGGTAACGGACCCGGCAAAAACCATCCTGCGTCTCCTTCCCGCTTGGTTTATGCAGGTGAAGGCTCTGGGGGAAAGCTCTGTAACAGAGGAGCCCCAGAGGACCGCTAGCCATGGCCGTACCTATTGCGGTTCTTGACTGCGACCTCTTGCTCTATGGCCGCGGGCACAGGACTTTGGATCGCTTCAAGCTGGAGGATGTCACGGATGAGTATCTAGTATCCACGTACGGCTTTCCCCGACAGTTCATTTACTACCTGGTCAATCTCCTGGGAGCCAGTCTCTCTCGCCCTACGCAGCGGTCCAGGGCCATCAGTCCAGAGACGCAGATACTTGCTGCGCTGGGTTTCTATACCTCCGGCTCCTTCCAGACTCGCATGGGGGACGCTATTGGCATCAGTCAAGCCTCCATGAGCCGCTGCGTTGCCAATGTGACTGAGGCATTGGTGGAGAGAGCCTCACAGTTTATTCACTTTCCTGAGGATGAAGCTACTGTTCAGAGCCTGAAGGATGACTTTTATGGGCTGGCAGGCATGCCGGGAGTGCTGGGGGTGGTTGACTGCACTCACGTGGCAATCAAAGCGCCGAAGGCCGAGGACCTATCCTATGTGAACCGAAAGGGACTCCATTCTCTGAACTGCCTGATGGTGTGTGATGCCAGAGGAGTCCTCCTGAGTGCAGAAACACACTGGCCGGGCAGCCTGCCTGACTGCACAGTGTTACAGCAGGCAGCCCTTACAAGCCAATTTGAAACTGAGCTACATAAAGATGGCTGGCTACTTGGTAAGTCGATTTTTCGTCGTCGTTTTCTGTAGAAAGTCTATTATGTGCTGGCTCCTCTTTATGCCTAGAGCCTCTGGGCACAAGTGATACATTTACTGCTGATTGCTTTCCTGCAACTTCCTTGAGGTTTGCGATTCAGTTTGGATGATCCTTCCCTTAGAAGTCTAGAACAGTGACTTCCAATCTGTGTTTTATACACTCTCATTATTGTATGTATGAGTTAAGACCTTGTTTTCAGTATCCTACACCTTTCTAAGCTGAATTATGCAGTTTTTAGTTCTATGTAGGGTCCTAGTCCAGCTGTCTTTCACTGCGTTATGTGGTAAACTCTTCTGTGTTCTTCCAGGATTTCCCTGTGTAAAACAGAATGTCTTTATTTTGTTGTTTGTCACATTTGTAAACCTGAGTTACGTGTTTTCCCATGCCTTCAGAAATAAATTATGCTGCAGAAATAAGTTATTTTGTATCTGCAGTACCAGAAAACCAAGGGTGAAGAGCTGAAGTCTGTGGTTAACTGTAGGTTTGTAACCTGTCCTCCTTTTCACTGCTAACAGGTGACAGCTCCTTCTTTCTCCGAACATGGTTGATGACCCCTCTGCATATCCCCGAGACACCTGCAGAATATCGTTACAACATGGCACATTCTGCCACGCACAATGTCATTGAGCGGACGTTCAGAACCATTCGGTCACGTTTCCGCTGCCTGGATGGGTCCAAAGGCACCCTGCAGTATTCTCCAGAGAAATCCAGCCACATCATTCTGGCCTGCTGCGTGCTCCACAACATCTCCCTCAAACACGGGTTGGATGTGTGGTCTTCCCCAGCCACAGGGCACATGGAACAACCGGAAGAAGAGTACGAGCAAATGGAATCAATGGACTTGGAAGCCTGTCGTATTCGTCAGGAGCTTCTACTTACTCATTTTAGCTAACGTTGTGACAGAAGGAATGCTTCTAGCGCTTCATCTGGGGAGATACACAGTGGAAATACACCCCTTCCTCTTTAAGTTTGAAAGGACTGAGTAGACGTGAGACCAGGAGAAACTTTGACTCTCTTAATTTCAGGGGGTATTCTGAACTTCTCTTGATCGCTCCAGAGATGCAGTTTAATTGCTAGATTTTTACTGTCGTAATGCTGATAGACTCCCCTTTCATCTGATTTAGAGAACTAACGTGAGATCAGCGGAAAAACTTGGGAAATTGTCTTTGATAATTAGAAAAAATCTGTAAGCCTCGCACGGTTTTACAAAGCAACAATTCTGTGCCACTTTGTAACCCAAACCATTTAGGATTGATTTTTAAACAGTATTTCACAGAAATTAAACCTCCATGTGGACTCCTGTCTACCCTGAATTTGTGAGCAGCAAAGCCAACATTTATCTTTTCATTTGCAGGTATAAATTCTTGCTAAATATCACTTTGCCATTTTGCACGTTTCACAAAAGCCAGCGCTTCCCCTGAAAGCTGACAGCTGTGTTCTGGGAGAAGTCTGGCTTTTTGCTGGGTACACACTAGTGCTTGCATGTGCCTAAAGGGTCAAGAAGGGTTGAACGTTTCTTTTTTTCCCCAAACAGATGGGAGAAGAAGTTAAGCTATGGTTGACTCTGTCCGTTACTTAACAGATATTAGGAAATGGGCTAGCGAATGTAAGCCTAGTTCTCACTAGGTGTGTCTGCCACAACAGAAATTGTCAATAACTATGGGGGGGTTGGACTAGATGACCTCTAAAGGTCCCGTCCAACCCAAAGCATTCTATGATTCTATGAATAACTACTCGTCTTGTTGGCTGCTCTAAAAGAAATGCCAAGGACTGGCTGGGTCACAAAAATTGAACCCATTGCAAAAGTTCTCTGTCTAGATCAGAGCTGAGCTGAGGGAAAGGCTGCTCTGCCGCTGCTGGCAATCTACCTGTTTAGTGGAGAAATAGAACTAATGCACACAGTTGTTGCTGGCACAGGACTGGAAAGTTTCCTGGCAATGTTCTCGTTCCAAACGATGCAAGTGTTTCCAAGGATCTCTGGACAGCAGTCTGAGGAAAATCTTGTTTCTTAGATTTTATTGTTTACTGGGCAGTAAATGAAACAAAAGTGGTGGGGAATGCAGAATGGTGCAAAAATGTAGCTCTCTGTTCTTTTAGAGGAAATGAGCCTGGATCATGCCCCACTTTGAAGAGTAAGAAAGTATGGGACATGTTCCCAAGTGTAGGATGGAGATGCAGGATTAGATGTAGCTCTGCCAGGTTTGCAGTGGCAGTAAGCTGTACTATCTTGCAGAAAGCCAAGTGTGCTTTATGCTGTGGAAGCAGCATGTTTTCACAAGCCTTGATGAGAACTGTAACATAATACATACAACGATCTGAGATGTAATTCTGTTTTCTTTGCTTCCCATACTTCCCATGAAGTATTGTGTAAGAACTACTACGGCTCACTGCGGCAAAACCCCTGCTCCTTTTACCTAGGAAGAAGCAGACAGGCATTGTTTTCTAAAAAAAAAAAAAAAAAAAAAGCAGCATTTTTAAGGTAAGAGTTGCTGCCTTATATGGTGCCTGGTGGCTCATAATCATATCTGACAGACTGTGCTAAAAATACTGATCTTTAGACCTAAACACCAGCAGACACTGAATGAGCTGCGTGGGTGACACTAAGGTCAAGTGAGACTTGGACACATGTAGGTACCAACGCTGTCACGTAATAACGAGCTGGAGTTTCTCAACCAATGCTATGAATAGCTCTTCTCAGCATGTGCTGAGACCAGAGCGAACTCAGGGTGGAGGCTTTTCCCGGAACACGTTTGCTGCTGGGTTTTGTCTTCCTTCAGCCACTGTCACCTTCAGTAGAGTTTAGTTTGAAAACTGGTCTCACTGCTTATCAGTTTGAGGAAAACCCGCATCAGGCTGCACCAGACAAGACCAACCCACTCAACAAAACTTCTCTTCTTCCTTGACTCAGGTGTCAGTACCCTTCAGTTCACTTGGGAAATGGAACTTCTTCATTGAGAGACAAGTTTGCCCCATGTACTCCTAAGCAACTTCTTTCTTTTGGGTTTAGACAATATTTAAACTCAACACCTTCAGATTCACATTTCTTTTCTGCTGTCCTGCTCTCTGTACTTTCACCTCATCTCGCCAGCTGCATTCTGGAGCACTTACAAATTTGTGCAGTCAGAGCTTTGAAAAGCCAAATCTACTCTGACCATGTAATGCCTGATAAATCTCAGTCATGTGTTGGAGGATGACAGTGACTGGTTCTTCCAGGTGTTGCAGTTTTCACTACTTGACTGAATTCCTTGGAAAATCCCATGACCAGCCCTTCACAGTTTTCCTTTAAAATACCTTTTCAAAGACTGTCAAGCTATGCTGCAGGCTGCCTTTGCTTCCTCCAATTCTGTGTATTAGAGCAAGCCTCATGCCCTAAACTTCACCTGTCTGGTCTTTTGACTTTTTTTTTTTTTTTTTTTGTCCCCCCCCTTGCTCACTTCCTAGATGCAAAGTGCCCTGGCTTGCTTAGATTTTTCCTTCCAACAACCAAGTCCTTCCCGAGGTTCTCAATTCTCTGATACAGATACAGAGGCAGGAAGATACGGCAGCTTGTGCTATTGCCTCCCCAGGGCTTCTCGTTGTGGGGCACCCCTCTTCTGACAGGGCTATGCACACCTTCTGCGTCTTCACCGTCCATGGTGTTGGAGATCAAGATGTAACAATAAATACTGACGCTCTGCTACTTCAGGAAAAGACCTTGCCTTCTTCTCTCTGAATGTGTTTCACCCCGATATCATCTATCTATTCTTGCCTGTTTTAATTACATGTTCTGCTCTGTATCAGTCTTGAGGGGGAGGGAAAAAAGAAAGACACACGAGACGTGGCTAGCGCGCTGTAGGGTGAGATTTCAGAAAAAAGAGCCTTCGCGAAAGAGGGAGCCGGGCGCTGCCTGCCCGGGG